CAGCCCAGCGTTTCACATAATGTACTCTGTATAGAACGTAAATAAACAGGGTGACAATAGACAGCCTTGTCAAACTCCTTTTCGAATTTTGACCAGTCTGTTCCTTGTCCAGTTCTAACCATTTTTTCTTGACATGTATTTAGGTTTTCAGGAGACAGGTAAGGTGGTCTGGTATTCCCATCTCTAAGAATTTTCCACAGTTTGTTGTGATCCACACAATCAAAGGCTTTAGTGTCAATGAAGCAGAAGTAGATGTTTTCCTGAAATTCCCTTGATTTCACTATGTTCTAGTGTATGTTGGCAATTTGCTCTCTGGCTTCTCAGCCTTTTCTAAATTCAGCTTGTACATCTCGAAGTTCTCGGTTCACATACTGTTGAAGCCTAGCTTTGAAGGATTTTGAGCATAACCTTGCTAGCATGTGAAATGAGCACAATTGTACGGTAGTTTGAACATTGTTTGGCGTTGACCTTCTTTGGGATTGGAATGAAAACTGACCGTTTCCAGTCCTGTGACCACTGCTGAGTTTTCTACATTTGCTGACATGAGTGCAACACTCTAACAGCATCATCTTTTAAGATTTTAAATAGCTCAGCTGGAATTCCATCACTTCCACTAGCTTTGTTTGTAGTAATGCTTCCTAATGCCCATTGATTTTACCCTCCAGGATGTTTGGCTCTAGGTGAGTGACCACAGCATCATTCGGGTATGAGTGGCATCAGATCCCTTATGGTTATACAGTGGAGGTGACAAATAGGTACAAGGAATTAGATCTGGTAAACAGTGACTGAAGAACTACAGTGTTACGGAGGTTTGTAACATTGTACAGGACGTGGTGACCAGAGCCATTCCAAAGGAAAAGAACTGCAAGAAGGCAAAGTGGTTGTCAGAAGTTGTTGTTTGGTCGCTCAGTTGTGTCCGATTTAACAACCCCATGGACTGCAGCACACCTGGCTTCCCTGTTCTCACCATCTCCCAGAGCTTGCTCAGACTCATGTCCATTGAGTCGGTGATGCCATCCAACCATCTTATCCTCTTTCATCCCCTTCTCCTCCTACCTTCAGTCTTTACCAGCATCAGGGTCTTTTCTAATGAGTAGACTCTTCGCATCAGCTGGCCCAAAGTATTGGAGCTTCAACTTCAGCATCAGTCCTTCAGTGAATATTCAGGGTTGATTTCCTTTAGGATTGACTGGTTCGATCTCCTTGCAGTCCAAGTAACTCTCAGGAGTCTTCTCCAACACCACAGTTTAAAAGCATCAAGTCTTTGGTGTTCAGCGGCCTTTATGGTCCTAGTCTCACATCCATACACGACTACTGGAAAAACCACAACTTTGACTATCCGGACCTTTGTCGGCAAAGTGATGTCTCTGCTTTTTAATATGCTGTCTAGGTTTTTCATGGCTTTTCTTCCAAGGAGCAAGTGTCTTCATTTCATGGCTGCAGTCACCATCTGCAGTGATTTTGGAGCCCAAGAAAGTGAAGTCTGTCACTATTTCCATTGTTTTCCCATCTATTTGCCATGAAGTGATATCTGAGGAGGCTTTCTAAATAGCTTAGGAAAGAAGAGAAGCAAAAGGCAAGGGAGAAAGGGAAAGATATACTAACTGAATGTAGAGTTCAGAGAATAGTAAGGAGAGATAAGAAAGCTTTAGTGAACAGTGCGAAGAAATACAGGAAAGCAATAGAAAGGGAAGCACTAGAAATCTCTTAAAATTGGAGATATCAAGGGAACATTTCATGCAAGAATGGGTGTGATAAAGGATAGAAATGTTAAGAACCTAGCAGAAGCAGAAGAGGTGGCAAGGATACACAGAAAAACTATATTAAAAAAGTCTTAATGACCTGGATAACTGTGATGGTGTGGTCACTCACCTAGAGCCAGGCATGCTGAGTGTGAAGTCAAGTAGGTCTTAGGAAGCGTTTTCAGATAGCTTTTCTTCGTACTCATTCCTCAGCATCAGGGCACGTTTGCTGCTGGGGGCAGCGCTATTTCCTGCCTTCCTCTAGGAGTGGACCGACGTGATGTTACACGTGAACGGCTTGTCACGTGGCAGGTGCACAAGTCGGTTTTGCTCCCCCCACCCTCCCAGATCGGGCTCTGCTCCTCCCTCTGAGGCAGGGGATCTTCCTTTGGGCCTGGGGTGTGGGAGGCTTTCTGCATCTCCTCTCCTGGCTGAAGGTTTTGTTTCATGTGAGATGCCACTTAATGGGGAGGAGCTCTCCATTATCTTTACTTTTATCTTTAATATTCAGTGGGTTGAAATATTCAGCAGATTGACTGTTAGGTGTTTCCTTTGCATCTGTGGGTTGATGTCTGATACCATTTTTGCAATGTTCTTGGCCATTATCTCTTCTTATGCTTTTTCTGTCCCATTCATTTCCTGGGATCCCAGTTATACTCCCCTTAAACACAAGTTCACATTTGATGTTGGATGTTCTGGGATTTCTTTCCACACTTTTTTTTTCTCTTTGTGTTTAAATCTGAGCACTTTAATTTGGCCTGTCTTCAGATTCACTGCTTATTTCTGTCTGTTTCTAAATCCATCTAAAGAGATCTTTAATTTCTGATATTGTATTTTTCATTTCTCACATTTCCCTGTGATCTTTTTTTTTATAGCTTCAGTGTCTGATGAAAATCTCTGTTTTGTTATTCATGCTGTCTCTCCCATCAGTGTTCATCACAGTTAAAAGTATGTCTGATAATCTCCAAATCTAGGCCCTCTGATCTGATTATATTATAGTCTTTGGACTATGGTTTGCTAGTCTCTCTGTCTTGTAGTTTTTGATTGAATGCTGAATGTTTCTGTAAAATCAATGCAATGGCCCATCATTTCTTGTGAGGCTAAGTGATAAGATGTGTGTGTGGTTGACCTAGTTCTCGGCTTGTTTGCAACTTCAGCTTGATTAGCTCAAGTGTTTTGAGAGTAGGCTTAAGACTTCACATTCTACAAGATTTGTTGTCTTATTGTAATTTTAGTTCTCTCCCTATGCTTTGTATCTGAGCCATCAGCTTTCTGAACTGTGGGTGATTTCTCTGCTTTTCTCTGGGTTCTTGTGATTCTGGAGTGCTAACCCAGGCTCCTGTATCTTCCAGTGCTTTCTGTCAGCAATCCTTTGCTACCCTAGCCTTGGTAGTTCAATTTACAGAGTATCTCTGTAGAAGTTCTTGTCTCAGCTGTCCTGTCCCACATCAGCCTAGGCAGCTCAATGTCTGGAGTCTCTTGGATTAATTTCTCTTACCTCTCCTCTGCAGGGCATTTGAGGAAGACCTTTAGCTTCTCGGGTTATCTCAGCTTTCAAGCCTTGTCTACCTTTGGCACATTTTGGCCAACACTTGGCGCAGGTCTGTGGGATTGAGTGGTTGAGTAGTGCAGACTTGTTCTGTGGAATCCTTGGAATTCTAATATATCTTGTCAGCTTATGTGTTGCTGTTAAAATGTATTAAAATTTAGGTTGATTTCTCCTTATTCTCCCTGTGGTGGGATTATTCCTCCATAGCCACTCCGCCAGGAAAGAGACCATCTGTGGGTTCCTTTTTCTATCAAGACTCAACACTTTTTGGAATTTAGTTCCACTCAGGTTACTTTGAATGTTAAACTTCCTGATGGGTTCAGAAAAACCATGATTTTATATCTTTTCTATCTTGTATTGATTGTTAGGGTGAAAGTGATGATCTGTTGTGATCTTTTTACATCCTGATTAGAAGTGGAACTCCTTTATGGATTACTTTCTGGTATATAATCTAGCAAATACGTGATCAAGTTTGTTATTTCACTTTGCTGCAGTTGGATTTTCTACTGAATTTCTCAGAGCTAGATTTTGAAATATTTTCCATTCTTCTCAAATCTGAACTCTCCAGTTCTGTCCTCAAGTGGCAAATTATCTTCTCTCTTACTTTGAGATTAAAGCCGTTGACATTAAATTGTAATTGAGGGGCTTGTGGAGAGAGTGGGAAGAATTTGTGGTAGCTGCTGAGGAAACTGGGCAGATGAGAAACTGACATAGTTATAGCTGTAGGGAAGAGAGTTGTACAGAAAGGAGCACATGATTGTGTAATAGTTTACTGCTAATCTCATCAGGTAGAAAACTACAGTTGGGAGATAGTTATTTTTAAAGTTGGAGGAAAGCAAGTGGCTGTGGTATAAATCCTGATTTTCCTGTAGAAAAGTCGATAAGTATATCTAAACTTGATGGTTTCAAGGGCTATCATTACTGAGGTATAAATAGCAAGAATAAATTTAAAAGATTTTAAGGAATTTGTACCTTGGTGTAAGAAGAGGAGCTGTATTTGACTTTATTCTCTATACATGTTGTTACTTAGATAAAAATGAACATTTTTTTAAAAAGAAGCTTAATTAACAGTCTTCTCAGGGGATGGTAAAAGTGAACCAAGTCTTTTCTTCACAGACTCTTTTTACTTTTATTTCTTTCTTCTTACTTCACACTTGATGCCTTTTCCTTGGTTACAACTTTAGATTTTCCATTATGATACTTAGCTATGAAAGTTGAAAACTTTGGGGTTGTTGGGCTTGTAAATTTAAAAGTATCTTTTGTTAACGTGTTTTGAGAATAGATTGAAATGCCAAAAAGTGAGGAAAACTTTCTTTTGGTGAAAATACTTTATTGATACTATTAAAAATTAAAAATAAAGTAGTATGGGTAATGAGAAACTTGTCTGGTGTTGATAAAGATAAGAGATTTTACTTGCAAAAGTATTATATTTATCCACTTATAACGTTGTCTTGTTTTTAGAAGAATTTGTTTTTTTCACAGTTCATTTAAATTGGTAAAGATATTTTCAAGGGTGAAAAAGATAACTCTGAACGTATTTTGTGAAAGTAATAATTTGAATTTGTTTCATCTTGTAATTGGCTTTTGGTACTGTGCTAAAACTAGTGGTTGATCGTAAAGTTAGGCTCTAAACTATTCTTTCGGTGTCTCTTCTAGGTTAGATTAAGGAGGATATTTTCTTAGAGTGGACCACTGCTTTCAGTAAGACCATGTCGTCCATCCTGCCGTTCACTCCACCAGTTGTGAAGAGACTGTTGGGATGGAAGAAGTCAGCTGGTGGATCTGGAGGAGCGGGTGGAGGAGAGCAGAATGGACAGGAAGAAAAGTGGTGTGAGAAAGCAGTTAAAAGTTTGGTGAAGAAGCTGAAGAAAACAGGACGATTAGATGAGCTTGAGAAAGCCATCACCACTCAGAATTGTAATACTAAATGTGTTACCATACCAAGGTAAGTGTTTAGATAAGAAATTTGAGGGCCTTACTGTTGAAAGTTGCTTAAAGGAATCTAAGGGAACGTTACTGAAGTTTTGTTACTTTCAAGTCACCCATCAGTAGTGATTATTAATATAAGATAGCTGTTCTTAAACCTGTCACATTAATTTTGTTTGACTCATTAAGACTTATTTTAGAAATCATTTTCTTGAACAGTGAGAAGGTTAATCAAGCCAAATAAAATACTTAGATTGTATTTTTATCTCCACTGTCTTCATTTACCTTCATTGCCTAAATGCTTCATTGTATGCTGTTATAATTTCTGTGATCAAATTTGAATAAAGAGTCAAAGATTTTCTATCACTAGCACAGTAGTGACTGACTGTTTTCTCCTCCTCTGGTCAAAACTTCAGTAAGGAGTTAACAGAGGCAGCTCACATTGTGATGAATTTTGTAGTTTTTATTTGAGTTACAACATTACTTTTAACAAAGAACCGTATAAGACAGCTTCCTGTGTGTCATAGTTGGTCAGAACCTGTCTTGAAGATCTGCCTCTTGTATTAGGATGTGTTACCTAAGAGGTTGAAGTTTTATTAGTGTAAGTTTAATCATTTTCAGACTAGTACCACTTTCAGAAATAGTGTTTTTTAAAATAAAGTAGCAAGTGGTTTTAATTTGTACTGCTATAATTATGCACATTATAGAGTTTGAGGGAGTGTCAGTTTATTGCATTTTGTAAAATGATTGTTTGCAGTGTCATACACATAGGCTAGCATATGGCATGTGAAACCATTCTACTTGACATGTTTCTAATGAGTTTTGGGAAATACACTGTGGATGCTTGTTGATAATAGAGCCTAGTAACACCAGCCTATCTACTTGCAAATACTAACAGAATGTTTCCTGCCTTGTTTGGTAGATTAATTATCCATTTCTTTTACCTTGCTTGTTTCATGTATTTCTTAAGTAAGAGTCGCTTTTCCTGGTTTACTCTTTCGTTTTAGAAATGTTTATAGATGCCTGACATTTCAGTTCAGTGAACAGTTGTTAATATCAACATATAGTCTTTGCTGTTGAGTTGCTTACTTCCTAGTAAGGGAGGTAAACTTGAAAAAAGAAGAAAGATAGTTTTATAACATACAGTAGGCATTCTGAAAGATGTATGCTCAGGGAGTAGTGTCCAAAGTGGGAAGCCTTCTCTATTCTGCAGCTTGTGAAAATTTTCCTCCTGAAGAAAGATTGGTGGCCGAGTTGGATGGATGTCAAGGAGGAATTTAGGAGAAGCTTGATTCACCCAGAGTGGTGCAGTAGTATGGACAGTGTGGCGGTGGGGCGCCCGGTGACCGGGGTCCTGGGAGTGTAGGGGAGGAGACGGGAGATGGCGGGCCTCAGAGGCTGCGTGGTAGTGAGGAAGCACTGCATCCCGTGCTGGGGGTTCACACTGAACCTGAGCGTGAGTGGGTGATGGGGGAGACATCAGAGAGTCTTAGGTAAAGAAGTGAGGAAAAGGACCGTGAGACTGTCAAGAGTGGAGGTGGAGACTGGTCAGTATGTTTCCTCCTCATCCAAGGGAGCGGTACGGTCCAGGAAGACATGGGGCCATGGTTTGGCACAGCTCCATTTAAGGCCCTGCTGCCAGTGCGGTGATGTGTTGGCGGAGCAGAGCTGCGAGGAGGGTCGTGCAGTCCTGTCTCTTAAGGAGATTCAGTAGGTAGCAGCCTCTTGATTAAAATGTATAGACTTTATATTTAAACTATGGAAGTCCCCTCAGTCAGATTTATTTTCCTCCTTGTCCATTTTTCATTTTACACTCTGGTTTCAGAGGGTTTTTTTTTTTACATTCTAGGACTTTTTCTTCATTTAAAGATTTTTTTCCCCAACACTTTCACCTGATTAATGAAAGTGAAGTGTTGCTTGTCCAGTATCTTGTTTTTCACTCTTTAATAAAAGTTCCTTGAAGCTTAGAAACTTGCTTATCTAATTTGGTGTTTTTTTTTTTAATACCGCAAGAAATGTAGATTTAATATTGGCTGTTGTCTATCGAAAAATTTAAGTTTCTTGTATTGTTTGGAACCATATATTTTTTGAAGTTTGCTTTCTTGTTCATAGTTGAAAATTGTATCAGATTATTAGTCATTTCTTAACTACTAAATATCCTTAAACATTTGGTCAACTCGTCATGGTGTCAGCTGTAAAACAGGGCGAGTGGGTGCAGAAAGGGCCTGTTGTGGAGGAATCCAAACCTCAGCTTAAGCAAAATTATTTAAGATGTAATGCAAAATGGATTTACTGTATGTCTGTTAGCTTAAAATTGCAAGTGAGTTGTTAATAAAATAGCTTTAGGTGTTGATGTCTTGATGTTTTCATCATGTATTGATGAACATGAAGCATAAATTACTTAAATTTTTAAAATGGCAAATATTCTTAAATGGTCAGTGTCTCATTGACTCTCAACAGTTTCTTTCCCTCCACCTCCATCTGCTAATGTTAGAGTGGGACTAAATTGTGGGTAGAAACATAGGCCTGACTTTATATCCCTCCCACCCCCGTCATAATTAGCTCTGCCTTTATCACTTTGTCTCTGAAGAAAGGATAGCTGTGGCTGCACATGTGTCACTGCTTCCTTCCTACTGTTGTATGTGGTGACACAAAGTAATTCATGAGTAGAACTTAACCTACTAAGCTGCAGTGAGCTGAATAGTATAAATAAAGTTTCATGAAGCTTTTCCATCTCAAGACAACTCAGTCAGAAATCAGAACGGCAACTGATGTTTAACAAATCAGTCAAAAGAAGAAAAATGGGCTTTCAGTGCATATTATCTACAGAAAAACAAAATCAAAACAGCAGTGGAGATGGAGAGCTTGTAAAGTTAAAAACGAGGCTGTGAGGTCTGAATGCTAATTTGATAATGTTTGTTTTACACAAATAAGCGGGAATGCAGAATTTTTTTCGTAAATATAAATTATAAGGACTTTCCTAAGGTGTTACTTTGTGTTTGACTATCTATGACATTTTGATGGTTCATCCTAAAGAAACAGTGAGGAATATGGTCAGAGCTTTCTGGTGTTCATTTCAGTGATGTTTTTAATAGCAAAGAATTAGATAAATCCAATCATAACCCATAGTTTCCTTGACTATAAAGGAAACTTCCATAACTCATTTTATACCAGGGTTGAACGGTAAAGTAAAATTGAATAGCAAAAGTAAAGTTTATACCAATTTTACTCGTAAAAATAGATGCAAAAATTATAAATAAAACTTAAATTATAAAAACAAAACCACCAAATCATGAGTAGGTAAGGTTTACTGCAGGAATGCTAGTATGATTCACCTGTAGGAGGTTAGTTAATAGGAGACACTGCATATTCATATTTATGAAAGCTCTGATCTTAATGGATCTAGAAAGAGCTTTTTATAAAATCCAGTGCTCATATTAACAAATTAGGAATAAATAGGAATTTTCTCAAGTTGATAAAACATAAAAGTGTTAATGCTTAATCTTGAAACTTTAGAAGAAATAATGCCACGTTGTTAATAGTGATTACTTATGGATTACCTAAAAAGAGAAATGTCCTATAATTTTTCCCTAGTATTTATCTATGAAAGTATGTTTTACTTTTGTAGTCAGCACAATTAATTAAATGTTTAAAAAGGACTTTTTTGGCAATACTTAGACTATTCTATATTTTTTAAAACCCTTTAAGTCAACTTTCCTGTTACAGGGAAACAATATTTTCATTTTCTTAACATTCTGATACATGTGTTTACATTTTTTCCTTTAAAAAGTTTGTTACTTAAAAAGATAAAAGTAGTATGTGTTGTACATGATTCCAAATTCGAACACACATTATCCAGCGGGAAAACTCCTCTCTCCCCTCCTGTCATCACCCATCTCCTCACCCAGTTGTATTACTAGCGTCTTACATATCCTTCTAGGATACTGAGTATCTTATTAATGCTGTCACTGACATTTGGATTTTGTTTTCCATCTTCCAAATTTTTAAACATCAGAGTAATTGAAGTAAACTTTATGCAGATTGTCAGCTTTTATTTTTAGTTTCATATTCCTACTCTTGCTTTTCTGGATAACCCAGGAAGAATTAAAGAAAAGTCTTTAAAAACCAAACTGTAGTATCCTTCAGTTCTTAAATTAGTGTTTTTTATTTCAGAAGAAAATAAGAATGATTCTTTCTCCCTCATACGTCGATGTGTGTGTGTATGAGATAATATATATGGAGTACTATGACAGAAAGAACTCTGAATTTGAAGTTTGATGACTTGTAAGCTTCTTCAGTACTGATGCATGTGAATCCTAAGGCATGTAACTATTTTTGACTATTTCTTCATCTGTGAAAGGGGTCAGTACTATCTTGAGTTCTTTCACAGTACTCTTCTGGGGTCTTCTGAAATACTATAACTGTTGGTTTATTTGCTGTAAGCACTATAGTCATGAATATGATTTATTTGAAATGTTCTCAGGTATGCCATGTCTTCATTTTCCTTCCAGATTTTCTAAGAAAACTCATATTGAATTATAATTGTCTATCTTTGCTTAGTAAACGCTTCTGCCAGATAACTATCATGATTTAGTATAACTGTTATTTATAAACTCAATTAGTCAAAACAGTGAAACAGTATATAAATGCGAACTAGAACTTTGAGACTATCAGCCTCAGCATCCAACTTGTCATTTTCTGTCTGTGTGATCTGTGTATAAGTTGTGAAAGCACTTCTGATGAACACTTCATTAGGCTCCTGTGAAACACAGTTTGAAAGACACATTGCTAAGACCCTTAACATTTATCTGATGCCTACATTTACATTTTGATTTTTTCTGAGGTAGTGCATGCTGTAGGATCCTGGTATTCAAAGTCCTTTTGTGTATATAATACATTCTTCCATGGGGCATTTTTATCATTTACCTTATCAGAGTAAACATACCTGCCCTAGAACCTAGGTTCCTTTATAAAGTTACAGAATTATTACCCAGATTTACTACTACCTATTTAAAATTT